TCGGAGCACGAATTGGTCGGACCGATATGCTAGGATGTCGATACGGATAACAAGTAACATGTTAAACGCAGTAATAAAGTAAAGCTCTGCTAAAACGAATAAAGCTGTATCCAGCAGCTGTCAGGTGATTCTTACAAGAGGCCAAGCAAAGATAGATGACAGTCAACGCACGACCTGTGAGTTGGTTCTGACAGCATGAGATAACTGGGTCAGCGGGCGTGACGTTTGTTTGATTGTGGTGCCAGGAATGTGTCATATTTATCTGTGTCAGATTTAACATACCGTTTGTGACGTAATCATCAACCGTTGATGGTGTTATAAAATGAGATTCTTCTTCTTCTTCTTCTTCTTCTTCTTCTTTTCTTCTTTCTTCTTCTTCTTCTTCTTCTTCTTCGGCCCTTCTTCTGCTTCTACGCATTCTTTCTTCTTCTTCTTTACTCTTCTTCTTCTTCTTCTTTTTCTTCTTCTTCTTCTTCTTCTTCTTCTTCTTCTTCTCTCTTCTTCGCTTCTCTCTTCTTCTTCTTCTGCTCTTCTTCTTCTCTTCTTCTTCTTCTTCGTTCTTCTTCTTCTTCTTCTTCTTTCTTCTTCGTTCTTTCATTCTTCTTCTTTCTTCTTCGTATTTTCATTCTCTTCTTCTTCTTCTTCTTTCTCTTCTTCTTCTATTCTTCTTCTTCTTCTTCTTTTCTTCTTCTTCTTCTTCTTCTGCTTCTTCTTCTTCTTCTTTTTGCTCCTCATCCTTCCCCTCATCCCACTTCTTCGTCCTCTTCAACCTCTCATCTTCTTTTTCTGTTTCCATCCTTCCATCTTATTATTCTTCTGCTGCTCCTGTTTTCGTTCTGCAAACTAGAAGTACACTATTTAGCTTTACACTGTCATAATCATGAGCGACAAAGTGAACGTTTCGGCCATAAAGCTATCACGAGCATACAACACCAATTACAAACACGAGTACATAATGTCATTTAGCCTGACAACGAGACATGTCATAGAATCTCCATTTATGCTTTGAACAGTCAAACAGAAAGCGTGAAGGTGTAATATTACACTTCCCAATAGCCCTGTCGGCTTCAGGACTCACTACCTTCGTCTGAAACCATTCGATAGCACGGCATCTCCCAGCTGCTGCCACATGGATCTGAACTAATGGCATGTCAAGTTACACATTGTGGATGATGATGTTCTCTGCCCAGGTGCATAGTCGCTCCTGTCTCTCCACAGATCTCGGTCCTTGGTATCTTCAATCCATTCCGCTGATGATTTTTCACCATACCGTCTCTTCAGGACGCCAAGCATTGTCTCTCTTGGTCAGCTTCTGTATCCTCTACCTCGGAAATTTCCAGTCATTGCCCCATATTCTCCCATGCCTCTCCTCTCATCACATGACCGAAGAACAACGGATACCCCCTTTCTTATAGAAGTATACAGTTGTCTAGTGTCTAGCCATTTCCAGGCAGACGTTGTTAGCTGCTCTGTCTGGTCAGGGTATCCACAGCATGTGTGTCTCAGAAACCACATCTCCACGACCTCCATTTTCTTCCTATTTTATTCTCTCTCATTAAAAATTTACAGCCATACAGCAGCACTGATTCAACATAACATGTCATTACTCTTTTGTTAAGTTCGTTTACATGGTTACATGATATACATATTTTGAAATATTACCTTCACTTGATATATCCGGTTTTTTATCTCAGTTGTACATCTTCCATGAAATGCCTAATTGTGCCTAGATATGTGAACTTGTTGACCTACCTAAGTACTTTTCCTACTCTTGTAATTTCATATTTTGGTGTTTGTTTCATCTTTGTTATTACCGTCAGCGTCTGTGGCTTAGTCGTTGCGAGCGTGCTTCGTAATGCCGGGGTACCGGGTTCGATCCCTGCTGTGGACGGTTTGTCTTGCGATGGTTTCGACCGGTGTACCGAGAGCCGACCATCCAGTAGAAATGGCAAACTACTGGACGTTAATTTGCCTAGAAAAACCACAATAGACAAAAAGTGCTGGGGTTGGTTCTGCAACGTCCTGTAAAGGATACGCAACTAATTAAATTAAAAATTGTAATTACCTTTTGACCCCTGTCTTTTTTTTTAATTATTATATTTACGGAGAGCCGTTTTCTTTCACTTACCATTATTACGGTGGATTGTGATCACAAAGAGTGAAAGTTGAAGTCGAGAGAATCGATTTCATTGCACCGCATTGCAATCCGCAATGCTCGGTCTCTTTCCCCAGAACTGCTATAAGCCTGCCGAGAGCGTTGCCCGAATACAAAGACGGCCTCAGCGACGATACCAAAAATGTCTCCGTAAACTGCGGTCGTGTCCCAAACGATGCAGTTTGTGAAGCGAAGCTTACGACTTTGAGATCGCAAAGCAAACGATTAGGCTACATCGTTACTTGATGAATGATGTTCATTAGAGAACTATTTAATAGTAATTTTAAGAAGCAATATGAAAATTATTTATTAGTTAACTGTGCATCAGCATTCATAGAAAGTTGACTGAAAATGTGAACCAGTCAACAGTTTTTGACTGTGTGAGCTATCGGGCCATTGTTCGCAGATCTTCTTCGCGTTCACCAGCTGTACACTCTAGCGGAAAGTTCTGGTTGCTCGTCCACTACTGAACTGCAGTCCTGCTCCAGAACCTGAGTGTTGTGTGTGCATCAGTTTTACAGATCCCATTCTCTTGAATAGAGACTGTTGGTTCCTTTGCCTCTCTAGCCTATGCACTCCGACTTCAAAGGAAGTTCCCTAATAAGTCGACTCTTACGACAGGCTTTTGGGGAGGCAGTGGGTCTATTCTTGTTTTCCCCACAATGGGACCCCGGAACCCACACGGGGGAATATGTTCGCAAATAATCTGACTAGATGTATGAATGCCAACTTGACTGTCTTTTACTCCATACGTCTGCGACTTTTTAAAAATAAAGATTGTTTGATCACTCATTCCTTCCATCCATTCGTACATCGGTCTGTGTCTGCACGTCAGTCCAAATATCCAGATGTCTGTACGTCAGTCCAAATATCCAAGTGTCTGTATGTCAGTTCAAATATCCAAGTGTCTGTATGTCAGTCCAAATATCCAGGTGTCTGTATGTCAGTCCAAATATCCAGGTGTCTGTACGTCAGTCCAAATATCCAGGTGTCTGTATATTGGATTTGAGGTTCATTCATTCGTCCACATATTTGTCTCTGTCTGCCTACATATGTATCCTCCCTACTTATCCACTTACCCGTATAAATACCCTCTGCTTGCTACCTTGCCAACCCATGGATCTATCTACCAACTACTAGCCTTTCTTCCTCCTTGTAATCTGTGTATGAGTGAGAGAAAGAGAGAGAGAGAGAGAGAGAGAGAGAGAGAGAGAGAGAGAGAGAGAGAGAGAAGAGAGAGAGAGAGGGGGAGAGACAAAGGGACAGAGAGAGTGTGTGTGTGTATGTATGTGTGTGTGTGTGTGTGCGTGTGTAGCCCGGTCGATCATCGTGACCCCCGACCTTACAGCACAAAGTAGGTATAGTGAAGTATAAGTTCAAAAGTCAAGTAAAGAACCATTTCTCAAACGTATTGGGCATGTAGGGCTAGACATTTATTCTTATAGACCAGTCGTCACTGGGTTTATTATGGCTTGGAGATAATGATGCACCTGGGTGTAACATGTCGGTCTGGCCTGTTCACTACACTCAGAGAAAAGAGAAGAGGGACATATAACCAGATTACAACCGGTACTATAAGTACTGGAACTCTGCTTTAGCTGCTGAAGATGAGTACAGAGCGCGCATGGGAATACCCCGAGTGCTGTGATATCAATTCTTGTCACTCGGTGGGTGATGTGGTCAGCATCACGCAGGGCGCATCGGTTTAAATCAGGTCAGCATGTCGAAGGCCCACGGCCCTGCCTCCTGTTCCTTATTGTGACCTTAGCCAAAAGGCCAAGAAGAAGTGCCTCTGCACAAAAGAGCAATTTTAATGACATTCTTCCAACATCCCACATGCCTGCTTCAACACGCACGCCTAACAACTTAAACATGAACGTGTGAATACACGAGCGCATGTGTATTTCTGCTTTGCTATATGCCTACGGGTGTGTGCGAGTATAGTATATTTACCGAATAAGTCGTAGACATAGAATTTATAAATAGAACTGACAGACCTACTAATCGACTCATTAATTTCAAGTGATCGCCCCAATTGTTCAAGTGATTGGCCTAATTTGTCAAGTGTTTAAAATGCCACATCTTTAATGACATAAGATAAAGACATTCTCCTTATAAAATCTAACCCAAGCTGCGACGCTGTTAATCCATTTAATCGCACAAAGTCTCACCCTAATATTTTAAGAGCTAAATAGTAGTAGTATAATAATTAATAACATCTCAAGCCACATGCAACAGTTACGCGAGTTTTCAGTGATTATTTCATGGGACCCTGTTTCTATTAAGTGAAAAACTACACCGAAATCTGACAAGCACAGCCGTTGCTAAGAAACACTGTTCCAAAATCCTGTCAAATCATTGGGCAAAACACTGCCAGTTTGTAAGTCCTTATAATTTATCTTGAAATTTTTGTTATGTTGAATAGAGCATCGTGACTGATTTGTCTTGCGCTCTGAAGGCCGTGGATTGGTTTCACATACTGCACACTTCAGTTTTACAAGTGCCAATGTCTCTGGAGATTAAAAGGGATTGTCGCTGGGGCTACGGAGTTCGTAGTTTGTGTGACCAAATTTAATACGGCTAGCCATTCAGTGGTGAGAGACCTAGCTATATATGATAACACCCGATACAGTGAAGTTGATCTAAGCCATTTAACCTGTAATGTAACTACTGCTGTTATTGTTTGCTTTAGAAATTTTCATTAAATTTAATCCCTCTCTCTACACAGACACACAGATATACACACACACTCCTCTCTCTCTCTCTCTCTCTCTCTCTCTCTCTCTCTCTCTCTCTCTCTCACGCACACACTCCTTAAATATTATCTTTGTGTTATATCAGAAACATGGAGCTGGAAAGAAAAACATCTCAGATTCAGGAAGACGACACTGACGATAAAGAAGACACATCCTCCACATCTCTGAAATCTAAGTTGAAAGATCCAGAATTCAGAAGGAAAATTCTTCAGTGGACTTCTCTGCCTATAGGGATGTTCAGTATGGTAAGTTTTCTGATGTTTGCGTTTAGGTTTAAACAACGAAACAACATCATGGCACAAGGGTAGTAACCCATTAGTGCTCCTTTCTACTTCTCATTCAAGTTTGAGTCTGAAGATGATCAGCGCAGTGCATAAACTCCGTAACGCCGGCGAGGATCCTGAAATACGTTGGGTAGATTTTGCCTAGGCCTGTTTCCAGCCTAGTAATTTGCTTATCCTTTATAGGACGTTGCAGAACCAACCACAGCATTTTTTTTGGCTGTTGTGGTTTTTCTAGGCACATTTTACGTTCAGTAGTTTGCCATTGCTTTCTAAACGGTCAGCTTTCGATACCACTGTCGAAACCAACGCAAGACTAAACGTGCGAAGCTGAGATCGAACCTGGCTCTCCGGCATTACGAAGCACGTTCGCAATAACTAAGCCGAAAGACGCTGACCACCAGCCTAGTAAATACATTCAATTTGATATTTAACATATCACGTGTCTGGGAGCCGCCGTGGTGTGGCGACTAGACGCTCGCCTGCAGACTCGAAGGTCGTGGGTTGGAATTCACACGATTTTTTCCTTCTTCAAAAATGACCTGGTACCAGGTAAAGTCCTGGGAAGTGAAGACGGTCGAAGTGATGTTGACTACTTCAGTCACAGAGTACTCCTTGGTATTTAAAATATAGGTCTAGTCTTGCGTGCCCAGAACCCATGGAGACGTGAGAAAATGTCGTTTTACTATCATTTGTCTGGTTTAATTGCTTTTCCAGAACACTCGCACCAAATTACCCTTCTTTCATTATTGATTGTAGTATTTATTTAACATGTTCTATATCTTATGTTTAACACTACGTCATATCTTATTTTCTGACACGCTTTGCTTAATGCAGTCTAAGGTTTCTCTGCCTGAGCTACTGAGTTTAGTGCTTGGTGCAGCACTGTGAGCTGTGTTTTTCATATGGAATGCTTTTCATTTGTGCAACAGTTGTGTCGTGGCATTTAATATGGCCGGTAGCCGGTTTACGTGTGAGCTGGTGAAATACCTTATGCAATAATTCTACGTGTTTATAGACAACTTATCGTGTCCGACTGCTTCCATCAACAGCAAACTGCATTTCTGGTAGCGACTGTTGGCTTTGGCGTATATAGCAACTGCTATATGCATTTACTGCGTGCGCATATTTCTAGATTGTCCCGGGACTAATTGTTAGTTCACCAGATTTTCAAATGGGACAAGGAGGAACATTTCATTTGATTTTCACTGGTACAGGAAGGGAGCAAGTATGAGGAAACCTGATTGCTGTGATGTCGAAACCTCGAGAAGACACAGAATAAAATTGTCTGACCCTGTTTCATTGTCCTTACTCGTAGAGAACTACAGATTACACTTGGTTGGTGTAGTCATTGCGTTCACCCTAATAACTTTGTTGGAGTTTGAGCTGGGTATCTGGGTTCTGTCTTTCTAATCTGCCGTCCAGATTAAGATTTTTAAATCTCAGGATGATGTGGTAAACTTTAGATAGCAGCTGGGAGGGGACAACTGATCTATCGATCAATCACAGGTTCATAATGAAGATCAGAGTATGTTCTATATCTTACCTGTAGCCAGACAAGTGGAACACATTGTATGGAGGAGAAGAACAGCTTGTGAAAACATGCAAATTCCACTACATGGCATTCTGGCTCCTACTGTCTGCAAAACTTGTCAAGAAACCATAAAAGAACAAGCGCAACCATCTTCAAGAACTGAATATTGAAGTAGGTTGGCTGTTAAAGACGATAAAACACAGAAAATGTAAATATTTTGGTCACTTGAAACGTCACGAAAATTTAGAGAAAACAGTAATGAAGGGGTATATGCCTGGGAAGAGAGGAAAATGAAGGCCACAGAGAAGATGAGTGCAGGATGTGGCGGATGATCTCCAGATGGGTGTTTCACCGCGGGACATCTTGCTTGTGATCGAGAAGTTTTCCGGAGGATTGTTATGGGAGCAAGGTTCTGCAAAGGACATGCTGCTGACTGACTGACTGGCTGACTGACTGACTGACTGGCTGACTGACTAAATGACTGACTGGCTGGCTGACTGACTGGCTGACTGACTGTGACTGACTGACTGGCTGACTGACTGACTGACTGACTGACTGACTGACTGGCTGACTGACTGGCTGACTGACTTACTGACTGACTGACTGACTGACTGACTGGCTGGCTGACTAAATGACTGGCTGGCTGACTGACTGACTGACTGACTGACTGACTGGCTGGCTGACTGAATGACTGACTGGCTGGCTGGCTGGCTGACTGACTGGCTGGCTGACTGACTGACTGACTGACTGACTGACTGGCTGACTGACTGACTGACTGACTGGCTGTCTGACTGACTGAATGACTGGCTGGCTGACTGACTGACTGAATGGCTGGCTGACTGACTGGCTGACTGACTGACTGACTGACTGACTGACTGACTGACTGACTGACTGGCTGACTGACTGACTGACTGACTGACTGACTGAATGAATGGCTGGCTGACTGACTGACTGACTGGCATTGGGCCAAAGGGTGAAAGTTCACGAGCCCCTTGATCAATAACAACAACAATAATCTCACATATGAAATAACTATAAATGTAGCAGCTTTACTCATGAGCTGATGAGTATTCCAATCTGTTCATAGGGAATAGTTGATGCTTCGGGGGGAGCCACACTTTTGGATCTGCAGCTTCTGACATCGACCGACGACCAGATGTCTTCACTGTACATTACCGCCTACAACCTGGGCTATGTCATGGGCTCATTCATTGGAGGCTATCTCTATGGCAAGGTAAATGAATCGTTCAGTAATGTACTGCCTGAAATGTCTGTCGCCAATACAATTTATTATACAGAAAGTAAGTTGGTGTTTTAGACAGATATGGGGATGTGCACGGTGATGTACACGAAAACAAATACGGGTACGTAGTCTGGTATAAAGACAGAGACACGCTGATATACCTAGACGGATAGCATAAACAGACAGACAGACAGACAGACAGACAGACAGACAGACAGACAGACAGACAGACAGACAGACAGACAGACAGACAGACAGACAGACAGACAGACAGACAGACAGACAGACAGACAGACAGACAGACAGACAGACAGACAGACAGACAGACAGACAGACAGACAGACAGACAGACAGACAGACAGACAGACACATATAGACGGACAGACAAACAGACAGATGAGCTGGTGGATGCCTGGAAAGACATAACATTAGCACAAGTGAACATATTATGTTTTAATGATATAAAACCTATTTACATCATTATCATCACCACAACCATCGTCACCAGCATCGTAATTAATCAAATCCTTTTATCCGACAGATCAACAGCTACTTCATGATGACCATCTGTTGTGTCCTGGCTGGCGGTGCCAACATCGCCACTCCTTACCTCAACACATTTCTGCTGATGTTCATCATTCGCTGCTCTACTGGTTGTTTCCTTGGCATTCTGCTCTGCAGTAAGTCACGGCTGTATGTCTCTCCCCACCAGTGTCATCTAGAAAGCTTGACTCCCGTATTAAAACTAATAACAAAAATAGAATACCTGACTTCCACATGTGGGTTTCGGGGCCCCATTTGTGTGTATGTGTGTGTATTGTGTGTGTGTGTGCGGGGGTGGTGGGAGGGAAAAAGAATAGACTCAAACCCCCTAAAAAGCATGTCGTAAGAGGCGACTAATTATGATGCTTCCTTCGAAGTCTAAGTGCATCTGGCTGAGAGGCGAGGAATCAACAGTCTGAATACAAATATGAATATTTGGCTAAAAGTGACCCCTGTGTGAAAGTGGTTGTTGTTGTTGTACACCTTATATGGTTGCCGCAACGTAATCAGAAGACTATGCTTGACAGTGGTGGCAATATTTTCTTGTGAATATGTCACTGTATCCAGTGTAAGAATGAAGGTGGGGGCGGTAACAGCAGCTTTCTTATGGCTTGGGAGCAGCATATCCCGACACGTAATAACTGTAACGGACTACCAGAACTTGCTTCGGAAAAAAAGAATTATGAATTAATCGAGTAACAGAAAGAGTATTGATTGGCACTCATAGAAAGAAGTAGAAAGATAGAAGAACACACTAGACAACATAAAAATCAAAAGCTATAGTTACCGTGCCGGGAATTGAACCTGTCACCTCCAGACGGCGTCTGCGCCTCGCCATGAATACAAGTGCATTAAGATACATGGTCAACCAGGCACCCCCCAAGAAAGGTGTCTTATTGGCCATGTCTATCGTACAGCTTGAAATCCACAACTATGGAATACGGACAGAATTCATTTCAACCCATTGAAATGGCACCATAGGTTACAGAAACTTATATTAACGAAGCAAATGTCGAATAACAATCACAGCAACAATTTACGAAAACAGTAGATCTTATTGCTTTATCTAGAATACACAAACATTTAAGAAAGGTATTTGATTTGTAGGTTCCGGTGTGTATACGTCATTCCTATAAATAAACAGAGGGGAACCTTTGAGGCCGTTAAATATTATGATTAATCGAGTAACAGAAAGTGTATTGATCGACACTCATAGAAAGAAGTAGAAAGATAGAAAAACACACTAGACAACATAACAATCGAAAGAAAAAAGATAATGGCGACCTGGGCTCAGAGTGGTTTGGATCACTTGATAAGACTCAGATCAGGAACCTACCATTTGTTTTCTCTCTAGGGTATCCATTTGTGCCAGGTAACGAGCAGGCTGATGAATTAGTTGCTGCCGTCCCTCTGGGCAGTGAGCTACTATATGGTAAAGCCGACGCGGTGAAGGTTCATTGGTATAAATGAACTACTATTGTAGCAGCATATACAGAGAGCCCATACATTTAAAAAAGGGGGCATTAAAAAAAGCCGGGGAAAGGGGGAGGGGGGGGGGGTGATTAAAGGTTGTTTCAGATATATTAGACACTGAGGGAAAATCATAGGAAGACTTTTAATCATGCTGCAAATGTTAATATTAGCATGCTGACTCTTCGTTGGCTACTGAGAAAAGGGACGGAGCAAACGTGGTGATGTCTCAAGTGCAGTGGTGCCAAATCTTAATTCATTAATTAATTGGAAATACGATACTGACCGATATTAACTTTGTATTTTCCTCAAGCTTAATGTAGAATTTTGTTATAATCCTTTTTTTTTTTTTTTTAAATTGACAGTTGGCAGCGCCGAGCACATGCGCATCTGGGGCACTAAAGGAGAGTCCCTGTTGCAGCTGATCAACTTTGTCTACGCCGTGGGTGGAGTCGTCGGCCCGTTGATCTCAGAACCGTTTATAACGGAAAAGGACCGAGACAATGCCACATCTACGCATCAAAATGTGATATCTGGCAACTTTCAAAACCATACCCTGACATTTAACAACTCTGCGAGCCTCACATGTGACAGTTTTACATATAACAATATAACAACTGACAATTTTGTTAATCACAATCTGACATTTGACAACTTTATTAGTCTCACACTGGAATGCATCAACCAAACAGACGTAAATAAATCAAATCTACAACGATCTACAAACGTCCGTTACGCCTTTCTGATTGGTGGACTCACATCCGTACTAGGAGGTATCCCATTTTTAGTAACTCTTCTAAAGTGGAGGAAATCAAACTCACATGTTGAGGAAACTGGTGTCTCAGAGCTTACAGGTCGCAAACTACCTCTGCCAGTGACCGTTTTTTTAGCTGGACTTTTATTTATATATTATCTGTTTTATTGTTCTATTGAGGTAACATTTAGTTCCTATCTGTTAGTATTTATTGTAAAGCATTTTGACACGATTGGCACCCACGAAGCAGCGTATATAATGACTTACTACTGGGTGCTATTTGCTACTGGCAGGTTTATCTCCATCTTTACTTCAAAATACTTACCTGCCAAAATCCTGCTGTACATACATTTGACCTTGATTGCGTCAACGTTTGCAGGATTCATAGCCAGCGCCTTGTTCAACAGATTTGATATTCTGACCGTTTTTGCTTGTCTCATGGGTTTAGCGTGTTCGGCAACGTATGCTGCAGGCATATCATGGACGGAAGCTGAGCTGATGAAGGTGACTGGTCCAATATCGGCCGTTATCCTGGTAGGAGCTTCAACAGGAGCTATGGTGACCCCTTTCGTGGTGGGTCACCTGGTGGAGTACGTGTCAGACATGTGGTTCTGTTACAGCATTGTGGTGGTTTTTCTCCTGGCCGTCTCTGTTCTTGTGGTCACAATGACCTTTAACCGATGTTACGTGGACAGAAAATATGGTAAAATGGGTGCAGGTTTGGTGCCAGAAAAACCACCGATTTTACCCGACATTGTTGTACAATCAACTTTATGAATACCCTAGAGGAAGAAAGTAATTTTTTGCCTTGTAAACCTTTGTTGTGTATGTATCTTCTTCTTCGTGTTCTGCAGCTGTAAACTCTGGCAAAAAGTTCTGAACTTGTGGACTGTAGTTCTGTTTCAGAACCTGAGGGTTGCCTGTGCATCCGTTTAACAGATCTGACTGATTTGTATGCAGACTGCTGGCTCCTTACCTCTCAGGCAGATGCACTCTGACTTCGAAAGAAGCTCCCAGTTAGTCGACTCTTACGATATGCTTTTGGGTAAACAGTGGGTCTGTTCATGATTTCCCTACAATGGGGTCCCGGAACCCACACGGGAAGTTGTGTATTTATACTACTGAAAGAAAAAAAAAAAAAAAAAAAAACCGCATGGCATCTGAAAGGAACATAATTCTGCATCAATTGTGACATTCAAAACCTGTATAATTTAATGAGTGAAACTGTTGAAATTACACACGAGAATATCTTAGGGTTTAACCAATCAATTCAGTTGTTATGTATATTATTAAAATCTTGGGTCATCGACAGTTTTGTGTGGGTTACAGGAGGTTTTGCCGTCAACTAACAGACGGGCAATAGGATAACCGTGCGTTTCTTCCTTTCTTGTTGACAAAAAAAAAAAAAACAACAACGGACAGTATATGACGGTATATTGGGCACATCATTATGCGCTGGGGAAGCAAGCGGAGACACACCAAAAAAAAAAAAAAAATTAAAAAAAGAAAGAAATGGGAAACAAACGAGTTAAGGAGACATGGACGTCGAAGACAAATCCCAAAAGGAGGGTTGACTAATCCTAAAAGGAAGGTTGACAAATCCTAAAAGGAGCGTTGACAAATCCCAAAAGAAAGGTTAACAAATCCTAAAAGGAAGGTTGACAAATCCTAAAAGGAGCGTTGACAAATCCTAAAAGGAACTTTAACAAATCCTAAAAGGAACATTGAAAAATCACAAATGGAACGTTGACAAATCCCAAAAGGAGAGTTGACAAATCCTAAAAGGAACGTTGACAAATCCTAAATGGAGCGTTGATAAATTCCAAAAAGATCGTTGACAAATCCCAAAAGGAAACTTGTCAAATCCTAAAAAGAGCGTTGAAAAAATTCCAAAAGGAACGTTGACAAATCCTAAAAGGAGCGATGAAAGACAGGCCAAATGTGCTGTGCTGGATTCTATCCATGATATCAAAAAGATCGCACAAAAAAAGAACGAAAGAAGGGATAGACGTCGAGCCTTTGTGACGTATGAATGTTTCTTCATGTTGCAACGATACTTTATGATATTATGCTGTATTTGCATACGATGTATCTTGCAGAATAATGCATAACAAAAGGATTACATGTTTTGCTAAGTTGTTATGTCTGTGTTTGTTATTTATTTTAGAAACTGTTGCTATAAACGTAGCGTGGATGAGTGGGTTAACATATTTGTTATTATTTGTCTTAGTCACTATTGCATATTTTAATTAATTATATAATACATTTCCCCGTTAATTGACAGAGATTCTTTCTCTCTCCTACTGCTTTGAAAATATTATGGACGAGTATAAGGCCTCAGCACCTCAGATCAAGCTGTCCTATCCTTTCCTTTAGCGTGCAGCTGACACAATGTCCTCATATTTTTCGTCACATTCACTGCAGCCTTCCGCTGGCTAGAGAATCAGCGGCCGATACACATGTCGTGGTTGTGACTGACTCACAGAGTATGTTTTGTAACTGACTCACAGAGCATGTTTTGTAACTGTCTCACAGATCATGTTTTGTAACTGACTCACAGAGCATGTGTTGTAACTGACTCACAGAGCATGTTTTGTAACTGACTCACAGAGTATGTTTTGTAACTGACTCACAGAGCATGTTTTGTAACTGACTCACAGAGTATGTTTTGTAACTGACTCACAGAACATGTTTTGTAACTGACTCACAAAGAATGTTTTGTAACTGACTCACAGAACATGTTTTGTAACTGACTCACAGAACATGTTTTGTAACTGACTCACAGAACATGTTTTGTAACTGACTCACAGAGCATGTTTTATAACTGTCTGACAGAATATGTTTTGTAACTGACTCACAGAACATGTTTTGTAACTGACTCTCAGACCATGTTTTGTAACTGACAAAGAATGTTTTGTAACTGACTCACAGAACATGTTTTGTAACTGACTCACATAGCATGTTTTGTAACTGACTCACAGAACATATTTTGTAACTGACTCACAGAGCATGTTTTGTAACTGACTCACAGAGCATGTTTTGTAACTGACTCACAAAGAATGTTTTGTAACTGACTCACAGAGCATGTTTTGTAACTGACTCACGAAGAATGTTTTGTAACTGACTCACAGAACATGTTTTGTAACTAACTCACAGAGCATGTTTTGTAACTGACTCACAGAACATGTTTTGTAACTGACTCACAGAGCATGTTTTCTAACTGACTCACAGAACATGTTTTGTAACTGACTCACAGAGCATGTTTTCTAACTGACTCACAGAACATGTTTTGTAACTGACTCACAGAGCATGTTTTGTAACTGACTCACAGAGCATGTTTTGTAACTTACATTTTTTGTAACTGACTCACAAAGAATGTTTTGTAAATGACTCTCAGAACATGTTTTGTAACTGACTCACAGAACATGTTTTGTAACTGACTCACAGAACATGTTTTGTAACTGACTCACAGAGCATGTTTTGTAACTGACTCACAGAGCATGTTTTGTAACTGACTCACAGAGCATGTTTTGTAACTGACTCTCAGAGCATGTTTTGTAACTGACTCACAGAACATGTTTTGTAACTGACTCAGTTCCAATACATGGGCACTGGTTACGTCACCATACGTTTTTCTCAGTGTGTGTCAAATCCACTGTCATAGTCTTTTTCCCAGCAGTTGATTCAACGGAATTCGTTTTCTCCCAATACTTCACTTTAGTATCGCTGCATTCAATCACAACCCAGGCATCCGTTAATGAATAGTTTTAATTAATCACTGATTGTTTTAAAGAGGTTCCAGTAGGCTAAGAGTTGGAGAAAAGACGTTGGCGTTAAGAAAACCTAAGAACAATATTACTATAATGTTTTTGCACTGGAACCCACAGGAGCACAGAAACAAAGGCAGGCCAAAAAACACATGGAAACGTTAGCTAGAGGGTGAAGTTAATGAGATAGGAAGGACATGGGGTGAGATGCAAGCAATAACAAAGGATAGAACGACTTGGCATGAGTTGGTAGAGGCATATGCTTCATTAGGGGGATAGAAGACAGGAAAAGAAGAAGACTAATTGTTCAAAATATTTGCGTATTCTGTAATTGTTGTTCACCTTGCCAAGCGTTATAAGAATTATACATTGATTTTGTTTACTTTTATGTGTTTAAAGCTTTCAGTGCCATTCCTATTACTTGTATTGATGAGTATGTACATATCAAGTTTATAAAATAAATGTTATCATTCGTTTTTACATTCCTCTTTGCCAGTGCTTTTCATTTTTTGAATTCTTTTATTAGGGAAATAAATAGTGAGACAAGAATGTTCACAACAATGTTCAAACAAATCTCATTTGTCAAAAACATATCAAGTTGCAAATTTTAACTAGGATCTCTTTCAGATCTCCAGACAAATTGGCAATATAGTTGGTTTTTAGGCCAATCGGAACACTGTGGGTGATGAGGTCAGAATCCCACAGACCGTCTCTAATTCCCAGGACTTGACCTACTCATGTAAGTAGGAAAAAAAAAGTATGTCCAGTTAACTAGGGGTGATTTGAAAACTGGCAAATGTGATTGGACAAGATAAAAGCGGAAGGCAACCAGATCAATAAATACATCATTGGCCACACGACTTAGTCTAGTGGTCACCAACCTGGGGGTGGGGTGGAGGGAGGGGGGGGGGTATTGGCCGCACGAAGGTTTTCAAGGGGCTCAAGTAATTTTGAAAGTGATCGTGTTTGTACTTGTAATCCGTTATACGTATAATTGTTTTAGTTCAAAAATAAAAAATAATAAAATGTCATCTAAAAAAAAAAAAAAACTTAGTTAAACAAAACGACAAAAGCGTTTCTGTTGTCATGAGCAGTTTGAACATCTACATTTAAAATTCTGACGTATATGACAACAGACATTTAATTACAGATTGAGAACACGTCCTGACCAAACGTATCTCCATAATTTCTGTTTCACTTGTTGCGGAATCTATTTTCCTCCTCCTTTTCAATCACATTTTTCTTTTAGATTTCCAACTGCCAATGGATTTTTTACGTGCGTAACAATGCACACGGGCGTCCGATCTCACTACCCAGAGACAAGGGGGAATTAATAGAAGTCCAAGTCCACACAAGAAAATCCCAGCCCTTACCGGGGATTGAACCAGGAACGTTTAGCACTCGAGGCGGACACAATGCCTCGAGACCACACAGACCCGTTATAAGCAGATTCTGAAACCCCAATTCGAAGTTAACCTGGCAAGTCACGTGACTACAGTAAGCTTCCGGAAATTAGCATTAGGAGACCACTTGCATTTCAGTGGATTTTATTCAACTTGTGTAATTCGTCACACGTTGACGTCACTCTGTAGTAAGTAACCCACCTCACGAGGATAGCGAAATATGCCTGGTTGTGAAGCGTGGATAGGGAGCGAAGCTGAGAAACTACGAATGACTGCGAAAATGTGCTTTCTAAAAGCAGGCCACAGCGGTTACGTTATCAGCGAAATCAAACGTAGACTTTCCGTGTGGTTTAAGGGGTTGCGTTTTTGAAAAAAAAATTTTAATAGACCCACTTCCCCCATCCCCTCCGTCATGACGAGAGGCCACCCATTAGATGTGTTTTCTCAAAGTCAAGTGCCTCTGCCTGAGAGATTAGGAATCAACACATAAAACTCTATAAAACACTCCCTTGGATTAACAAACATGACGTAGAAGGCGACTAATTAGATGGGTTTTCTTCAAAGTCAGAATGCCTCTGCCTTAGAGATTCTGGGAATCAAACGTATT